ATGACAGCTCAATTGTGTGGTTTATGTCCAGTCGACTTCGTAATTTTGTTTTCGTCGCCGTTGCTGCAGAAAACCCCCGCCTCACACAGGTAGGATGTCGGAAATAGCAACAGTGCTATTGTGGCCATCTCAGAGTATTCAACCATAACTTTAATCCAGTTGCGTCTAACGTACTTTTAAGGCCTCCATCATTTGCGATCTCCAGCAGTTTTTTTACTCATTTTGAAAGCTCCGGCATTTTGTTTTTAGCGTAATCGGTCACGTGACGGAGAAGCGTGGCTTGACGTGTGTCAAGCGTGACACAGACGGATGTAACGGAGAATCCGGTAATTTTTCAAAATAAAACATTTCGGATTCCGAAATAAATAAAAAGGAATTAAGGCAAGTTCTTCCTGTGCGGCCCGGTACCAAATGCCCGGCGGACCGGTACCGGTCCACGGACCGGCGGTTGGGGACCCCTGCTCTAATTGAAGTTAAGAATTTTTTTTTTTAAATGATTGACGTAATTATTATATGTTGTCAGGTTCCGTGTTTTCGGCAAGCTTTCTGATGATAGGAACCTGTTGAAAGGATAATGATTGAGAAAATTACGAACGTCTTTTGGAACTGCTGTTTTGTTTGTTTTTTTTTTAAACTTCTGTGCATTGGCTGAGATCAGTCAAAAGAATGCCGTTTATTGGGGATAAATGAATGTGGTTTATGCAAATTAAGGTGACGCATGTGTATAAACATTCTTACATTTATGAGTTTATGAGTGCCTTTTGACTTGATGTGGAATTCTGCTTCAGGAGTGGGATGCCAAGAATAAAGACTCCATCAAACGAGCTTTGGAGCACTCCAACGTAGTCATCAATCTTGTGGGAAAAGAGTGGGAAACAAGGTATGCCCTCCCCTGACACAAATACCTGCTAAGTAATCTTTCATGACTGGCATTTGTTGAATTTCTGTTTCCGTCTTTGCGTGAAGGAACTACCGATTTGAGGACGTCTTTGTGAGCATCCCTCAGCAGATTGCCAAGGCAACCAGAGAGGCTGGCATCACTAAGTTCATCCACATGTCTCACCTCAATGCCGACATCCGCAGCTCGTCCAAATACCTGAGGAACAAGGTTGGAAACATGCTGTGAGATGATGACGTGGCGTATGTTTCCTGATTGCTCTACTGCAGGTGTACCAAATTCATTGTTGCAGGCCACATTGTAGTTATGGTTGCTCTCAGAGTGCCGGTTACAGTGGTGAAAGTACATCAATGTACATTACAGTTGCTGGGCGTGTGGCGGTCGGCCAAAAATCACAGATGTGTACGTAGTCTAGTTTTAAAACAGGTAATTTGGTGATCTCAATCGGTCTGGCAGGGGGGTGGCACAAAATTTGCTGGAGACAGCCGCCTCGCAATTCCGAATGCGGGAAAAACACTGGCTATAGCGCAAGACAGTTACACTTGTTATCGCTTTCCTAATATTGTTATGTATGAGACCCCTTACAATTGCCCTGTCATCTTACATAATTGCCCTTGCAATGGATGACAGCTTTTGAACAGAAGTCAAAAGAATCATTGCGGGCCACATAAATGGATGTGGAGGGCTGAATCAGGCTGGCAGGCCTTGCATTTGACAATGGTGCTCTCTTGTTTGTGCCAGGCTGTGGGAGAGACAGCGGTGAGAGACGAGTTTCCCGACGCCATCATCATGAAGCCCTCGGAGATGTTTGGGAGAGAAGACAAGTTCTTCAACTACTACGCAAGTAAGACTAACCAGGTATCCACAGCGAAGTGCATAACAAAACTTCCCTCACTATTATGTCATTCCTTCAGACATGCGTTGGTTTGGGAACGCCGTTCCACTCATCAGCCTCGGGAAGAAAACTGTCAAGCAGCCGGTTCATGTAAGATGCTTTTTTTTTTTTTCCGTCACGAACACACTCAGCATATATTTCTCCTCATTGATTTGTTAGTTTACATAGGACAAAGGGAAGTGCAAATTATGCCGCGTATGTATCCCAGATTTGTTTGAATGCACTCTAGGCTATCACGAAGTAGTCCCCCCAGGAATCTGAATGTTAGCGGCGGATAATATACGTTTCTATGTTTTTGTGTGTGTGTGTGTGTGTCAGTCCATTGTCATTCGAGCTCAACTTGACTTTTTTTTGTCAATTATATTTTATTACTTTAAAAGCTCTGTTATGTTCGTGCAACCTTTGTGCCTTTGTGCACTTTTTTTCTGCACTGCCAATTTGAAATAATGTCTTTTTTTTTTTTTTTTTAAGGACTTGAATTAAAAAAAAAAAATTCCACCTTTCTGTGCGTGATGTACTCTTAAGCGGCCACGCCAGTGGATCACCTGTAGACAAGATGCTTTTCGGGCAGTTGTGAGCAGCTTAGAGCGTATCTTGTTGAGGCTGGACCAGTTTGAGGGTGTTTCCATTGATTTCGGTAAAGAGCATTTGAAATGCGAGTGTTTTGAGTTCTGAGCATAGTCACAGAATAAAATAAACTCGTATCTTAAGGCGCCTCCGGATTCCACTCTTGTTTTCAAAAAAAGTCGTCCCTTTCATCAGGTTGTCGACGTGGCGAAGGCGATCATCAGCGCGATCAAAGACCCAGACGCCAATGGCAAGACGTACGCACTTGTCGGGTAGGTGACCAAGTGTTTGCACTCACAGGACACATCATTAGGTACACCAGCACAGCCCAGCACGCTCCGCTTTAGGAGCTGTTTCAAAGATAACATTCATTTTGGTCAATGTCTTTATGCAGTGTGTCCCTAAAGTCTTAACCCATCAGCCATTGACAGTATTGTGAAGTCATTGTATCCAGTTCACATCATTCTTGCAAAGTGCACCCTCTGCATTACAAATGTTGGAAATGTTGTTGTCATGTTCATTGTGAATATTTCAATTGAATAAATGATAAAACTGCTCGATGTGAATTCAGTCACACTTTTCAGTACTTGTAAAACAATTTGTGCATTATTGTGGTTGATGTAGTTTGCATTGATACGCATACACATTGTTTGGGGGACGTTTGTCATATTTGGATGCCGAAGCAACTTGAGATTAACATGTGTCGTGGCTTCAGTGTTTTTTTTTGTCTTTTTTACTTACTGGTACGCTCAAAGCAAACTTGCACATCCAATTGGCAACGAGAGAGGTGATGCAGCATTTTTGTTATTGTTGTTTTTTTTTTTCTTTTTTGTAGTCCCAACCGGTACCTGCTCCACGACCTGGTTGAGTACATCTACGCCGTTGCTCACAGACCCTTTGTGCCCTATCCACTTCCCCGGCCGCTCTTTCAGTAAGTGTTCACATGTTGAAATTCAGATACAATTGGGGTTGGGTCTCATCAGATAGACTTCAAGTTGAGAATCGGATGATTATTTGTTTTAAAGGTATTTATTTCTGCAATTGTTTGTTTGTATCCACATTCAAGCAGTGAAAGTGGTTTGATGACTCGCTTTTGAATGTTCCCCGACAAGCCTCATGAGGGCGCCACAAGCAAATGAATTGGCACCTGTTAAGCTTGTAAGGTTCCCACTAATGCACCGGAGATCTGTATGAATCTTCTCATGTGCTTGCGTTTGTCCTTTCAGCCTGGCCGCACAGTTTTTTGCAATGAGCCCGTTTGAGCCCTGGACAACCCCAGATAAAATAGAAAGGGTAAGAAAGAAGACGTTGATAGAAGTTCAAAGTCAGAATTACAGCTATCAATGCAGTCACCAAGAGTTTATAGCCTGATGAAATTGCTTTTTTCTTTTTTTTCCAGTTTCACTTAACTGACATGAAATACCCAGGACTTCCTGGTCTCGAGGATCTTGGCATCAGTCCCTCCACCGTAGAGCAAAGGGCGATTGAGATTCTGCGTCGTCATCGCCGATTCCGTTTCCTGGAAGCTGACCTGGATGCAACCAAGCCAGCAAAGACCGTCAATTACTAAAGTACTGAATCAGTGGCTCATTGTCACCTGAGAATGCTTTAACTTAATTCATGTAAATAAAAAAAGACATCTGAAACTTCAAGTGTTTTGTTTTTTTGTTTTTAGCATTTGACTTGTGGTACTGTTTGTTGAAGTTGGCGCTGGCCAGGGCGGCCTTCTTCGGCCTGACATTGTCGCCGGCTGTGGAGAACATTCTCTCCACAGCAACGTAGATAGGCCGGGGGGGTGACTTTATCAACAAGCTTAGAAAGGTTGAAACTTTTAAAACAAATTAAAACCGAACCGCAGAAGTGGACCACTTACGACAGACAAACTTTCAATACGAAATCCAGCAAAATACTGATAAGAAGCAGCGCGGTCGCACAGAAATCTCTCTAGGGTGGATGTGGCTAATGCGCCAACATGCACTACAAATTTGGTTTTCAGGTTAGTGACGGTTCAGCTGACGACCGAAAATTGCTTCCACCTGCACTTATTCCGTCAGTGTTTCAAAGTTTCTGTCATTCGTCAATCGTACAGTGAAACTGGAGTCTGTCAGTGACGGACTCACGGGCCTTTGTGCAGAGAAGTGGAAAAACTGATTTTCAGCCGGGATTTAGTGTACAAGCTCTGCTAGCGAGCAGGTTAGGTTTACACAGTGTCACCACAGTGACTGAATCGAACCTTCCTTGAACATGCTCTTGATGAATGAGTCAACAGTGGTCACGATGGGGGTCATGCAGTTACAATGAGTACCGAGGTGAACATGAGATCTGCAAAAAATTGCAACACATTGAAGGTAATTTCAATAAAAATAAAACACTAATAAAACAAAGATACTTGATTAACAGCAGGATTTCCAACAACAGTGCAAAACAGGAGTAAAAATTTCATCTTTAATGTACAGTATTTTATTTTGTGAACCCTGTGTGTGTGTGTGTGTGTGTGTGTGTGTGTGTGTGTGTGTGTGCTGGAGAGGGCAGTGTTGTCAAGTAGGAGGGTTCATGGCTCAGAGTGTAGTGTTGTATGTAAGAGTGGGCAGATCACATGAGCAGTCAAACACTCCAGCACATGCCAAAGAGAGAAAAGCCATGGAGCCTACCAAGAACCTTCACACATACTATGACTACAAGCAGATGGAGAACACCAGCATGTGTGACAACGCTCAGATGGCGACCCCGTTGTTCATCCCGGTGTTTATCATGCTCATCTTCCTGTTGGGCCTGTCTGGCAACAGCATGGTTATTTTCACCGTGTGGCGGGCAGAGGGGAAGCGACGCGCAGTCGAGGTCTATATCGGCAACCTGGCCCTGGCCGACCTGACCTTCATGGTCACGCTGCCCCTTTGGGTGGTGTACACAGCCATGGATGACCACTGGCCCTTTGGGGCGGCCCTGTGCAAGATCGTCAGCTACATTGATATCCTAAACATGTATGCCAGCGTCTTCCTCCTCACCTGCATGAGCTTCAACCGCTACCAGGCCATCGTACACTCGTTATCCAGCACCAAGCTACGCATCCGTGGTCACACGCGTATCTCCCTTGCCGCCGTCTGGATTCTGTCGGGCCTCCTAGCAGTGCCTGCCCTCATCTTCCACACCACCTGGCACGTGCCGAGCAACAACCACACTTCCTGCACCCTTGACTTCGGCCTGGTGGTGACCAATCAGCGTCAGGGGAGCCTGTGGATCACCGCGCTGACCATGTCGTTGTCCACCCTGGGGTTCCTGCTCCCCTTCCTGGCCATGATCGTGTGCTACGGGTTGATCGGCTGTACCGTGATGCGCCACTTCAACATCCGGCGCCAGGAGGACCAACGCAAGTGGCGACTCCTCAAGATCATCACCACGGTGGTGGTGGTCTTCACCAGCTGCTGGATCCCCTTCCATGTTTTGAACAGCGCCGGCGCACTCTCTTACCTCGGCCTGTTCCCGGCCACCTGCGCTTTCCAACGCTTCCTGCTTCTGGCCTATCCGTACGCCACCTGCTTGGCCTTCATCAACAGCTCTATCAACCCGTTCCTCTACGCCTTCTTAGACCTGCGTTTAAGGTCACGGTGCCTGTGCCTGCTTCACCTCAAGAAGTTCCGCCAGACATCCACCAACGATGAGTAAATCTGGAGGACTCAATCAACGCTAGGTCAAATTACGGGTACTTTATTTATTTTTTTTTTAACCCATCCGCTGGTTTATTTTAGGACCATCCCAACAGTAGTTAATATTACCCAGCAGGATGGGTTGTTTTTTTTTAACCCAACAGATGAGTCAAATATTTTGGCCAAATGCCGGATCAATTCAAATACAATTCTGGTTTGTTTCCATTACTGTCCATATCCTTGGATACATTAACCAGTATGCAAAATTAATTCTAATACATTTCAGTACAAATAATATGAATTGTCTTCGATTCCTAATACCTATAAAACTATTCAACAAACCAAAAAAGATATATTGTCGGTGTTCTGTAAAAAAACACAAATGTCCATTTTTTGGTCTTTTTAAAAAATATTTCATTAATGGGATATCTGAAACGCGGACATACTATTAACGTTTTTTTTTTAAATGTCAAAAATGGACAGCAATAAGCAGCACTCGAATCTTCAATAAAAATGTATGCAAAATATTTATAAAATCACTTTTATGTCAAGAACAAGAAGTTCAAATCAGTGTCAAACAAAACACTTAGCAGTAACAGCTAGTGAAAACAAACTAACAAGTAAAAAGATCAGTGTGTATATTCCCTATTTTTCACTTAAACGCAGTTACATTTTATGATCAGAAAAAATGAAACTTGCTTGCATTTTCAAGCTTATCAATTTATTTTGGAGAAATTGTTAATACCCAACTAATCTTAATGTCACTTTCTGCTGTGCAATTTGGACACACCTCCTTCCCTCCCCTCATAGCTTGGTGTGACGTCATCAGAGGAAATAGACAGTTGAAATCACTGAATGTACATTACAATGTCCAAAAACTCTGCTCACTCAGTTCCAAAAATTTATGTGTACACCTCTACAAATGCCCGCTACTACCTCTCCATCAGCGCTCACTATTAGAGAATGAGAGAAAATAGGGTGCTTAACTTTTTTTTCCTTTTGTCTGACGTATTTTCATTTTTAAAAAATAGTTAGGTGCTGGTGGTAACTGCATCAGTGCGATGTGGTCCAGGCGTGATTAGTCTGCACTTCGAAGTCTAGGATGCTTTGATAGTGACCAATGCGTTGTAAGCTTGTGAATCGGCTATTTTTGGACTAATGTTTGTAGGTTTTGATGCCTGTCTGGGCAAGTACAAAACAATCCATTTGCAGAGTCTATGCCAGATAAAATAAATAAATAAATAAAACAATAATATTTCATAACTCAGTTGTTGAGTCTATCAACTAGCTAGCCCATCTTGGACTGATGGATTTTGATCCAGCTCAAAAATAACCTAAAACGGGTAAAATATTTTTCATCACCCAGCAGTTGAGTGGATGAACGAACCCAATGTTTTTTTGAGTATGTAAGGTTGTTGTCATTGGAGGTGTGATGGAGTCCACCCCAAGTGAGGCAAGATACATTCTGAACTGGTTGCCAGTCAATTGCAAGGCACATACAGACTAACTTTGTGTTCTTGTTATATTTTAATTTTAAATAACACAATTCTTAATACGTGTATAAAAGATCCACTATTAAAGTAAAGGGTTTGAAGCAAGCAAAAAAAAAAAAAAACCCACACTTTTTTTTTCCAGTTCAAAGGGCACCTTTGCATAAAAATTACCATTCAAGGACAGCATAAAACTTTTGAAAAGCAAACCACCCCATTTTGTGCTTGTTCATGAAAATCAGATTTGCATGTCATACCAAATTCGTAAAAAAAAAAAAAAAAAAAAAAACAATGAGGCCAACTCACGTAATACGTATAGGGCAGTTCATGAACTGGTGTAAGCTCAACAAAGCCATGTCTGCCACCTAGTGGTGAATTGTGATGTTACAATGTAAAATACAGCAACCCCTACATACTTGCGATTCGGGATCCTCGGATTCGCACATTTGCACTTTTATTTTCAGTATGTTTTGTATTTGGGATGCATCCCATTTTTTCCGTGACAATTTTCCCCATTTCCCCCTTGGTTTTGATTCAAAATAAATAAATTAATTAATAAATAAGAACATCAACACCAACAAACAAACATAATGAATATTTATCAGCGTTTTTGAATAATATTTTGGGCAGTGGGGTGTAGTGAAAAAAAATATTTTTCAGTGTATTCCTTTTTTTAATTTATCAAAGGACCACTCAGAGTGTGATTGAGGGCCATATGCAACCAGCGGGCCACCTGTTGCCTACGCCTGCTCTAAATTGTCCACAGAGAGAGGTTCACCCATGACCCGAATGAGGACAAGTGACACAGCAAATGGATGGATGGTACCATCAATCTCCGCTTCTTGTGACAAATTAACAAAAGTAATTTTTCAATTGAAGAAAAGAAAAAGAAAACTTCTGTGTGCTTCAAGAACGGTACATAAAGGTTCAGTCTGAAAAAGAGGAAATAAACTGGTTGAAATGAGTTGTGTGGGTCATCATTCACTTCTGTTTTCTTGAACCAGTGGCACAAAACCACTTGGTCAAAAGTTCCACATTCTTGAGAAAAGAAAAGAAAGTACAGTAATAACATTGTCAAGAAGGAAGCTGCCACGCTACAAGAGAAAGTCACAATTTTACAATAAAGTCCAAATTTTTACGCAAATAAATCTTGCAAAACGAAAAAAAAAAAACAAACAACTAAATGAGAAAAAGGTAATATTACAAAAATAAAGTTATAACAATGTGAACCAAGTCAGCAAACATTTCATGGTGTTATATGACTCATTGATATTGAGATTGTCTCAAACTACTCTGTTGACATTGGTGTAGGTTTTGTTTGTTTGGGTTTTTTTTTTTTTTTAATATTTTTGAAGGGCCAATGGGGAACCTGTACCATACTGTCCTTTAGTCAGGGTACCTTTTGTGGTTTAATTATTTGTCTTGCCATTTTATGATTGCCTCATTCTAATGTGTGATTAAAGGAGATAAACTGTCTTTATCGCAAACCTGAAACTTTTTTCTTTTGTAGTTCGCATCAACTGAGGAAGAAGCTGCAAATGAAGTGGTCGCAATTTTGGAGGTTGTTGTGGTGACCGAAGCTTCAAGTCACTGATGATTCATCATAGCTGTTATTGTCATTGTCAGACTTGGCTTTGGTGGCCAAGTTGTGTCTGAAAGATTATTCTATTCTTATTGCTATTCTTCCGGTCTGCTTATCATTTGATTGCATTTCTCAATTACATGATCCATGCTTGGTAAATATTATGTGATTCTCACGCAAAGTCATTCACGGTGCTGTGCTTGATTCGGAGTGAGTGTCTGTTCCTTATTCGCTTGAATTTTGTCGTATAAAAAGGCTTGAAAGACTCCACACAATTCCGTCTACTTATGTGACTGGTAATGAAATGTTCTTAATGTTGTTGTGGATCTCAAAGATTACAGGACATGGAATATTGACTTTTTAAAGGTCCTATGCTACAATTTATTTCAATTTTTACAATCTTTGATGTCATTTTATTGGGTTTGCAAGATAATTTGGGCTGGAAATGCCCAGGATGCCTTTTACAACTTATTTTAGTTAACTAAAAATATTCATTCCCGTGAACGGCATCGCAGCGTTGCAAATGTAATGGCATATCAACAGCTTTTTTTTTTTTTTTTTAAAGGCCTGAGACACTGGGGAAATGCTAAACGTTAGCGACGGAACTGACCGGGAGGTACCTGGAGAAGGTTTGACCTTGACATGACTGAAAAGTAACGCCATGAGAAGAACCACCAAGCGCGATGTTTCAAATTCCACACAGGAAGACCGAGATTTGAACCATGAATCTCAAACTCAGAGACAGACATGCTCACCCCTTGTCTGAGCTGCCGGCAAATATTCAAATTTTGGTTCATGTTGCCATCCAGTGGCCAATGATGCAGAGAATGGGTTTTTCTGTCACAAGCTCCCAAGACACAGGTTCAATTTTTTTTTTACTGGTGACTTTTATTGGCACCAATACAAAATATGCATGTGAAGCGCAGGTCTTACTTTTATCCACTTGTGGTCACCATCCTCAAGTGTTACTCCGTAGGATCTATGACTTTGAATGGCCTGGCCTGTTGTATGACGTCGGAGTCACAGATTGAAAGTACGGTATGTTTGGCTCTCATCAACTCAGTATAGTGCCGTCTATTTTGCGGCTAACCTTTAGTTAGACTTAATGGATAAATGTGCTCATTGTATGTTTGTGTTTTTAACCTTTGTTCAGTAAAGTAATTGACAGCCTTCAGATATGCCTATTATTGTTCAAAGGAGAGGTTACGTTTTCTTTATTGCTAAGGACAAATAATCCTTTTCAGTTTAAACTAAAAGTTTTGGATTTGAACATCCTCTGAATTGTGAGGCAAACGTGTTAACCAGTCATTCACCGTCAGACGCCTGCCATAAACACAAGCGCATACACACATACACACGTGTGTGTGCTTGGGCACAACCACTTGAGAGAACTGCTATTGTAACCATGTTTTTTTTTGTTTTTTTTTTTTTTTTGCATTTCAGTGTTATGATTTCTAATTTGTATATGAAACATTAACAGTATCACAAAAAATGTTCCAATACTGCTTTATAACTTTTAGATCTCTTTCAACATACATAAAGTTGAATTGACATACATTCCATGATGAACATTACTATTTATTGTTCATTGAAAATTATAAGCCAAATGGATAACTTTTCGTATAAAAAACCTTAAAGGGGAAGTCAGGTTGAAAAATTTTTCTTTCTTGCTGTTTGTGAAAAAAAAGTAAAGAAAAGAGCAATAGTAGATGATCTGATGTAATTTGCCATGTTTCACTAAGTGACCATGAGTGGGCGGTGGTGTTGTGAAGGAAGGGGGTTGCATCCTCACCGCTTAGAGGGTTGTGTAAGAGCGAGCAGATAACCCGAGCAACAACACACTCCACCACGAGGCCAGGAGAGAAAAGCCAATGAGCCTACCGACAACCCTTACGAGTACTCTGACTATGAGGAGACAAAGTCATAATCGTAGTCATATTCATTTTTGGCCTTTTTGGCAACAGCCTGGTCATTTTCACGGTGTGGTGGGCGCAGGACATGCAGCGGGCAGACCACAACTGTGTCAGCAACCAGGATTCAGAATAAAGTATTCATGTACATGAATACTTTATTCTTTACACATTTAATAGCACTCTCCTTAGTTTGTAAGGTGTAGGCAGGGATTAAATTTAGATTTTATATGCACGTGTGTAAACAGTTAAAAAAATTCCTTTCTTTATAAATCTAGCTTAAAAAGTGCATTACTATATTTTTCACTACCAATTACTTGTTCAAGTTTTGTGCCTTTGTACAATCAGTGGGATCAGTTGCAATGCATATATGTGAATGATAAAAGTAAATTGCACATTTGTCTCAGCAAATCTAAGGTGCTTCATGAAACATTTTGTAAAAGACATGTTCATTACATTTCAACATTTTCCTAATGTTCTTGTGCTTCTTTAGACCAAAACAAAGGAAAGACATATTATTTTGGTTATTTCCAGCAGAGTATGGTATAATTTTCATGGTCCGGCCCACTTGACATCTACCGAGGCCGTATGTGGCCCACAATGTGAAATGAGTTTGACAGCCCTGGGTTAGAGGAAACAGAAGAGCAGATAAAGCAACATAATAACCAATACAAGTAGGTTAAAGTGATTTCCTGTCTTTCAGAATGAATGTATCTTTCATCGAGTTCTTGAAGCACACAGAAGTTCACGTTTCATTTCAGGAGTGGATGTAAACATGTCATTACACTGATTGAACTTGAACTTGAAATTACTTTTGAATACAATGTGATTTATGAATTGAATATTTTTTTATATTGATATTGCACTCTACCATTTCATTCTATCTAACTATTTGCATTCATTTCTACTTTGTTACATTTCCAGTGAGTAAAAGTGAAAAAAAGTGCAAGAGTAGATGATGTAATGTATTGTGCTATGTTTCAGGAAGTTAACAAAAGAACATGTTTCCACTAGAAGTGGGCAGTCGTTTCGGGGCTGGGGGTGTGGGGGGTGGGATGTAGCATCCTCGGGGCTCAGAGGGTTGTGTCAGAGTGGGCAGGGCATATGAGCAGCAAC